ACCTTGATGTTTCGGGACCCCACTTTGGGTCCCGACCCCAACTTTGGGAAACACTGTTCTATACGATCTAAAAATACTTTATTTTATTATTTTTTCCCCCCGAGGGGGAGATGGGTGTCATTCTGCGCGCGGGCCCCAGGAGCGGAGCAGGCCCGCGGGGAGAACAGGTCCTACTTCCTCAAGGCTCCGCGGGTCAGACCCTGTAGTCCTGGGTTTGGGACTGCAGACCCGGAACATGTTAGAGGGGTTAATTAGAAGCAGGCCTGCAAAGCAGCGCGCACGTGCAACATATTAATAGCCTGAAAYAGCTCAGAGCTGCGCGCGCGCGGGCTTTTCTTGTTTTATTGACGTGTTTGTGGTTTGTGCTCGAGTCCGATTTTTTTTTTTTCTCTGATTAGTTGAGAGGTCTGTTTGCACCCACCTGCCCGCCTTGGTGATGATCATCTCCGTGCCGATGTCGTGGAAGCGCTTCCACAGGTCCGCGCACTGCAGCTCCACCTGGATCTCCTCCATGGAGGCCGGCGGGGACGCGTCGCAGGGGCCCGGGGCCAGGTCGGCGGGGGAGCCGAAGGAGCACGACGTCCTCTCGGCCAGGCCCTCTCCGTCCGAGCCGGGGCTCGCCTCGGAGTCTGAAAAAAAAAAAAGAATTAAAAAAAAAACATCAGGAGGATGCAGGAGAAGAATTAATGCGCGTTTTCTGCAGGAAACTTGGCGCAGTGTGAGCGCGCAGCTGACTCCACATCAGCTGCAGCTGACTCCACATCAGCTGCAGCTGACTCCACATCAGCTGCAGCTCCGGGTCAAAAACAGAGCAAAGAGCCAAAACCCTGAGATGTGACGAGGAGGGAAAAAGGTTTGATTTTAATCTGCAGCTAATCAGGTTTCCTGTGAGTGATCCTTCTGGAACAAGTTAATTAAAATCACACAAAGAGGTCAATATAAGCAGATCGATCCAGACCTTTCCACTCATCCGTCAGTGACGTCAGACTTTTTCTACGGATTTCAACCAGCGTCCTAAAAGAACTGGACTGGTGGAACACAAACCAGTTTCACAGTTTGGTGTTTAAAATCACGACTCAGTTTGAAAAGCAAGAAAGTAAATCAGACTAAACTTCCAATTAGCAAATAGTTACTTAATGATATATAT